GTCACATATTGACATACCGCACAATTTAGTTTGTTACTTGTGTTGACGTGTGGACAGTTTGACTGGTGGCCGGCTTTTAATAAAATAACCTGCCAGCCATGTACAGTCTCCCTCCACACACGACGTGCTCAATTGTTATCTAAATTCGCTGTCAATTTCAGGGAAGAGCTGATTTAAAAATTGTTGAAATTGAATTGTATTATTTTCGAAATGTTTCTCATGAAAAACGCTAGTATCTATAATATGTTCGCCTCACACTTTTTTAACATTGTGTGGAAGTAAACTATGTCAGTTTGCTCGTTACAATTTTTTTTTTTAACGTTGCCCCACACTAGGATATTCTCCTGTGTCGTTACAACAATATAATACAAGTTCACATACACATGACACCCAGACCCGGAACAACAATTTGTGGATCACACAAAGTGTTGTTCCGTGCGGGAATCGAACCCGCGACACGTTGCACGGCAGCCGGTTGCCCAGCCACCGCACCAACCGTGCAGTCAAACTCTACTATTGTCTGTTTTGAGTACATTTATATAATAGTGTGTCTCATTGACTGTTAACTTTAATTAAGTTACTATTTTTCTTATTAGTTATTCAGACATAAACTAAAATTCAAGTGAATTGTTGTTACAAATGAAGAGCGACACATTTGTGTTACTGAACAAGTCGCAGCACTTAAGTGGAAGTAAATAGTATGTGTGTCGCCAAATGTTGGCGAAGTGTAAAGTTATTTTTCAGGACAGTCAGTCAGGGCAGTGAGGTTTATGGAGAGTTCGGTGGTACATACATACCTTGACATACATAGGAGTGCGACTGTCCTGCAAATGTAAAAATAAGGAGTGTTAGTAATATAATCGATAATTAAAGCAAACAGAGTTCAAATGAATGACTGACATTGTTACAATACAAAGGAAACCGATATGTTTTTGCAATTAGTGAATGATTTGTAACAAAATTCAGTTTGAAATAGCGTACTTAATGAGTTGCTAACCGCAGCCGCTCGATTGTAGTTACACGCAAATTAGGCATCAAATAGTGATCTAGCTTTATTTCAGCTAAATGTTGTGACTCGCCGAGCTACCAAGTTTGTCAAAACAAGATTTTATATTATTACCGTAACAATTACAAGTGAATCAATAATTTATGAATGTAGATAATTGCCCGTAATATATTCCGCCATGAAACGCTCCCGTTTCTCTGTTATCGTTATAAGCTGATATTTAACACAGGATAATTATTTGGAACAATTACAAGTTCATTAGATTAATCAATATTTTATTATGGTTCAAATTAAATTATGTTTGCAGACGAATGTTTCGTTGTTATTGCTTTAATTAATCTCGATCGATGTAAATGTAAGCCCCCGCTACATATATATGTACATGTAAATACGGTATGTATGAGTTGACGTCTGAATCGGACTCCATAATTCGCTTATTCGATTACCGCTCATGAAAGTCTAAAATCTGTGAAACAAATCTGCGACAAATAAAAGATTCATCATGTTTGTGAAGTGAATGTATGCGAGATGTGTTGGACCTTGGCTCCCCTATCCTTGACCTAACACGGCGCGGCGGTATATAAGGACACTCATTGCAAGTCAATATTGCAAGGGTGCATAAACAATCGCCAGTATCGGCAGCCAGACGAGACCTCGTGCATATGTAACACCTCGCCGGCTCAGTAGCCAGTGCCTGCTGCTCAGTAACAGTGCGGCAGTGACGAACACGACAACATCGCATATTGAAACCATCATTTGTCACTGTAAACAACTGATAGTTTCAGGTAATATGAATTATTTATGTGGTAGAATAAAAACGGTTGCAAAAGATCGAATAAATTTAATCCATGAAAACATTGCAAATATAATAATGAATAATTCAAACGACAAAACCACAAGCGAAAAGGATTGTTTTTTCAGGCTGAAGTCGTTCAAAGGCATCATTTACAAGTACTTACAATTCAATTACTTTTTCATTTAAAAATTGTAGCGTTTCGCGATGAAATAACAATTACATTGAGAGAAGCTCCGCGCACGTTTTGTTAACGAAGCAATAGGGAAAGTGTCGCTTTAATCAGAAATAATTAAATGCATTGTTTGCCCACGCGCCGTGCCTCCGTGCCTCCGTGCCTCCGTGCCTCCGTCACAACACTCTACTTCATTTTTTTTATACAATGCTCTATGTTTATTTGATCACAACTTATTTCAATTATTTTCTCAAACACCAGTTATAATGGTACTGATGGGGACTATTTCCTCATTTATTGTATTTTTAAAGTATAACTCACTATCTATGATCAAACTTCTACTTTCAGGCTCATCTCTTAACAAATATTCTAGATCACTAACACAGCATCTCTTAACAAAATCCCGGCGGGAAAAATTAAGTAACACAATATGCTTTAATAACATTATATCATTCCTACACACTGCTTCGTAGAGGAGGGACCACAAACAACGTATAAAACTACTCAACTTTACTCGTACAATGAGTTAATGAGTTAGTTATTATTTCACCAAAGAGTGCACCACTTGGAGCACTATAATTTCAAGCGTCTGAGGTTTGTTTATTGTAGTCTCATGTTGCGGAGTCAAACTGTGTAACATGGTAGTTCCACCACGTCGACAAGTCCCCGCCAACCACCAACAGGCCCTTCTGTGTTCATTGCAGGTGGCAGCAGACGTAAATATAATGCAGTTATAATTTCTCAAAGTACTTCCCACAAAGAATAACATAATTATTTTCCTTTGAACACACAGTTTAGAGCTCACAAAGAACCTAACGCTTTTAAAATTACAAACTGTTTAATGAAACCTGCCAAGTGCAAGTTTTATATTATTTTGACATCCTCATTGAGCGCGGCGCAACGAGCCAACGTCACGCCTTATTTCCGACGTCTAAACAATGAACACACATTAAATCCGCGAATAGGTGAACGTAATGCGCCCCCCCCCCTCCTTCCCCGCGCGCTGCCCGCCACTCACAAACTTATGAGATGATAGAAAAAACTACAGGCCCTGTGTGACGTCACCTGACACCACAACTATTGATTGTGATAGATGGCCCCTTATAGAAATGGATTAATCTTTGAAATATACTCCAAATAACTTCATATCTATTGGCTCAGTATTTGCCGATGTCACAGTGAATGTACTCCCGGTTGAGTTATAATTCTAACCTCACTTAACTTTGTATTGTTTTACAATCAATATAGCATGTTGGCATAACCCATTAGTTCTTATGTCCAAACGCGACGCATCCACAAAAGCTAGTATCTACAAATAGTATGTGTAGGCGCTGTCGGCAGCGGTCGCCGGATCGTATGGAATGGTTCGGAAGGCGGGAGCTGTGATTACGCGGTTGATTACTGGCGCTCGGGAGGAAATTACTTTAATTATAAGTTGTTTGTTTCTACAACTCATTTGCTTTCACGAATGTGGACCTGTGGACCTCCAATGTTGTTTCTTTTGTCACACCTCAATGTGACCCTCCCCCTCCCGCCATAATGTGAGGGTCTACCCTCAAAGAACATCTATTAACGTGTCAGGTTGTTCGTTTCGCTGTTGGTTTTTACATACTAATGTAGGTACAAGTAAATCGAATGAACTGGTATGATAATGTTCAGGGATAATCGAAAGCCATCGATCGTAGTCGTTCAAATATGAATTTACGAGTAAAATTTGGGACTGGACTTGCATATTGTGCTATCAACTTGATAGTTGGGCGAGCACTAGAATTTCATTTGTGGTTTCTTATTTTTGCTGCCTCATTTAGTCGATTGTCGGGTTCGATTCCCGGGTCATGCAAAGTATTACTGGTTCTATTTTAATCTCAGTAGTAGCACGAAGTCTGGAATTGTGCCCGGTATATGACAATAGGCTCACCCCCTATTACATGGGAGTATAGCATAAATAGTGAAAAGTGGGTGTTACATTGAGCAGTGGCATTAAGTTCCGTATTATGCAGGCACCTCTGCCTACCCCTCTGGGGATAACAAGACGGAATGTTATATATTTTCTATGTGTTTATGGAGTGATGGCTCACAGATTGCAGCCGCGGTGCTAAGTCGGTAACTCGGCAGCCGGCTGCTGCGTAATAACGTAATAAATCTGTGTAATTATTTAGTATCGTTAATGTGTTTCGTACGTGTGACGTCACAGCCCCTGACTTACTGCTCACGACTTCCATCTATTGCCCATAAGAATTTATTAAAGTTAATTACATTTTGCCTCCTCGTACCTCCACATGTATTTCTATGGGTACTCTCGGAGGCTTATATTATGTTTGTGAGAGTAATCTGCTGCTACTAAAATTCCCTTGTTGTTATTTTTATTTAAATTATCCGTCAGTATTACATAATTTAACGTAAAGTAGTTCGGTAAGTCAGTTCTATCAAAAAAGTTAATTACCTTTTACAAAGCCATTTTATATTTGAAGTCACATTCAAAGAGCCCTCGCCCTTAAACATTACAAAACTTTCGTATTTTCTTTAATCTCAGAAGATACTAAAGAAAACATTAGCGATCTCTTAAATAAAGAAAATAACATCAAGTTGGAGTCGCTAAACGAATTTAAAATTCTAATATAAATGTTAGACAAAATTGTAATTAGCCTGCTATGGCCAAACAAGCCCGAGGTGTTCTCATTTACTGAACGCTTCAATAACTTTACTTCAGCTGGTAACTTGTAGCCAACTGAAATGTTTTCTGTAACGACTCGGCGGCCAGCTAACTGATAGTGTCGTCAAAACTTATGATCGTCGACAATGTACTAAGAGAGCCACCGGCAGTGGTGGCTGTTACTCTAATGTTTGGAAATACTGCAATGTTCTCATACATTTCAATGACTTTGTCACCGATCATGGAGATAGGAAAGTAGAGAAAGAGTTAGATATAAAAATGATTAAAGTAAGTAGTTATGTCCACAATATGCATGTGTGCGCGACAATGTACCAAACAAAAATGATAATAAGTAGACATGTGTTATACTCACGACGCTGTGCCCGCTGCGGCTCCGCAGGCTGAGCCGCATCTTCCAGTCGCGCTTGGAGGTCGCGCCGCCCTCCGAGCTGAACGACCGCTTCATGGGCAACGACATCTTGGAGGCACTCGACTACCCGCCACAAAACATAATGCGTCCCTGTCGCATAATCTTCGCACTGATTAGTTCACGTTTCGCGTCCGCAATACGTTACATCATTCGGGAAACTGTTCCAACGTCAAAGAACACATCGCAGACGCGACACTCCCTACATGCTAACACGAACTAACCTAACACTACTGAATAACATTATTACACTAACACCGATAAATAGACACAGAGAACGAGAAAAAATTCTACTGGAACACTACTTGACACTACACACCAATCTGAAACAAAAAGGGTACATGTTAATAAATACTTGCCGGAGCCTCACTGAGGAAGTCCCTTTGTACCGGGAGCGGGCTCGGTTTCGCATGACACCCGGTTTGTCACTACCACCTGAAGTACACAGGACATGGGTTAATCTGTTAAGCCTTTACTCCTCGGGGCGAGGGACACGAGGGAGAGCTCCTGAAACCAGTTTTGTGGTAATTTGAAAGGATTCTATTTATACACGGACAAGGGGACCTGTGACGCGGACACACTCGCACTTCCAACTGGTGCATTAAGTGCGGAGCGCAGGGTTCTGGTACTAGTGCTTACACCACCGGTAGTTACGTACCCAGCTGCTGCTATAGCTTGCACTAATATTATTATTGTAACATAATATAAGAAACTTCATAATTTATAAACGAGTGATCGCGGAGTGTACACAAAGAACATACTTTTGGTGTTTTGATTCAGAATAAAGTTGAAAAAGTTCCGGTGAAGTCCGGGTAACTCCTTCAATATACCACTTTACGAACTCCAAAAATAATATGATTATGTTTTGCAAAGTTAAACAACTGAAATATTCAAACAAAACTCAATCAAATCACGGAATTACGGAGGGTGGGCAGAGGAGGCGCACTCTCATACTAGAACGAGTGTTGGTATTGTAATTCTAGAGGTATTTATTTACTTGGCCTATATATGGCATTTACTTGGACCGGTATTGTTTATTTCACTGAATATTGCGTACTTAAAGTTCAGTTTGATTGGTGAGCTATGAATCCATACGTGTGAGGGGCGGCCGAGGTGAAGGAGCTCACTCACTTAAGTTACCTACTATACAGTTTACTGATAGCGTAATAGTCTTACATAATACATACATTATATTATATTTCATTATTCGTTACAGTAAGTAAAAATATTATAAGTCAGTGTAATTTTCTTTACAGTAATTTATTTCGCACTAGATTCACTTTGCGCTGTGAGTAGATGATAACAAGCGGACAGTTTTCATTTAATTTTCGTAAATATAGTATGCGTGCCTGTACTTTGCCCAGTGTGTACACGATGTGTACATACTCTGTATGTGTACATAGTAGGTACAATGTACAAGTACAAGGCAATACACATGATGCCGTTCGTAAATGACCAGTATTTTCTCCATAGGATTCTCAACAACAACTCTCGACCCGAAATAAAACTAAATGACTGAATGACACGACTACAAAGAATTAGCTTTGGCTATGAATTTTACAAGAAAGTGACTTCCTTCCTTTAAGATCATAGTAGCAAGAATAATAGAACCTAGAACATTATTACTGATATCAAGTCTAAAATAGATTTCTCATTAAATCCGTCGGAAGTCTCAGCCGTTTCCTGGAGCGGAACCAAGCGCCGCTGAAACTCAAACAATAAAATCTTGTTTTTCAAACTTAACCATGTGAATGAATACTGTGTAGTGTTGCAGCACAGGGTGGCACAGTGTGGCACAGTGTGGCACAGTGTGCACATAGTGTAGCGACACTGTGTCCTCGCACAACTTGGCCAGAATGCACAATTTATACTTAAGTGTGTCTCACCTACGATGTAGCAGGTGATTCGATTCGATCGCTCACTTACCCTGACAAAAGGACGTGTACTGATTTTCTACCAATTTCCACCACTCTCCCGGAGACAAGGAATCCGAGAAGCTTTTTTTAGTCAAATAAGATTATCATTTGTCGCCCTTGTTATGCATGCCTCGCGGGTTTGTGTTCTTCACTTCAATTTGAATTCTACATTGTTACATTGTAATTAGATTTACTGAAACTTCTTTAATTAATTATTTGCTATTGAACACTCTTTGGTAACACTCTTTAAAATAAATGAAATAAAAATTATACATTCGCCTATACACAAACGGTGGTACGCCCCATCGTCTCCCCAACCAAATAAAATATCGTCCAATACAAATATAATTTACAAATCCCCTAAGTACAATTCGAAAGATGAGTCCGTAAATTTAATAAAACGTAGCGGTATGAATGTAGCAAATGAGCCATTAAGGCTTTACATCAATCCCCGAGTGAACTGAACGAGTGAATGAGTGAGTACTGACATATCATCAGGAGCTGGGACACGAACAAACATGTTTGAAAGGGAACCAATTCAATGAAGTAGATCCGAGCCGAGCACACATCGGCCCGCGGTGTCGTCACGTCACGCGTCACGTCACGCGTCCGCTTCGTGTCGCGTCGCGTGCTAATGCCTTTATCCCACCAAACACACTTCAGATTTTAAACCATTCGCGTGCTCCTTTATTTTTCAGTTATCTAAAACCTTAATGTTACCGTTTATTTTACCCATAACATTGGATCAGAGCAATCTCCACTAGCACGTATGGTTTCATTAGTAATTAACTTTAGTACAACACGTACGATCACACATTCTAGAATATTATGTTAAAGTGTCGGACGCTGGGATGTGCCCGGTTTGTTGACTGTCAGCGGCTGATAACGACAAACAATTGTTCAGATCAAAGGCGCGCTACGTGCAGCTCCCGGTCAATTCCAATAAACAGAATCCAGTTTAATTTCTAATAAACAAATGATCAACATTTTGAAATAGATCTAATTAATTAATACACTGCTGTACCTAAGACTCTTGACATTCTACAGTTGAGTAATTAACTCCATTAATATAAGATGGCGCACACGCTTCCTTCCTCGGGTAATATCACTAAAATAAAATTCTCCTCATACGACCTTATAAAGAAATACATTAGAAGTAGTTTAAACTGACTTCATATTTTATTTGCATTGACTGTGAGAGCAGTGGGAGTGTCCTCGAGTCGCTCATTACTCCTTAGATACTAATTGATCTTTTTTCAAAGAATGTACGCTTCATGCAGTGAGGCGTTATGTGTGTGTGTGTGTGTGTGTGTGTGTGTGTGTGTGTGTGTGTGTGTGTGTGGGTTTGTGAAGCAAACAGAAGGTTGCAGTAATAACAAGCACTGGCCATATTTATTTTTATTTTCACGTCCTGCTAGTTAAGATAATTATTACCAATCTAATTAAAGTAAGTAGAAGTATACCACATAAATAGAAAATCAAACGATCATATAATACTGTACTTCCATTAGTAATGTCATTACTAACCAAGCTTTACTAATGAAACATTCCAAAGAACAATAACTACTAGGACCTCAATAACCATTTCCTAAACTAATAAAATATGAATAATAGGAAATAACTTGAATGAGTAGGTGCAGTATTAATAGACTGCATATCGATAACTTTCGCAATTACCGGCTCAGTCGGTGGCTCGGTGCACACGAGTGCGAGGTGCGAAGCCCGCATTAGTCGCGAACTTTCCCGGAATAAGTCGGCGTCGGTCGTAGCTCTTGACTATAACGTCCACTTACTGCCTACCTACATGTTCCCTCCACTACTACAGCCTCTGCACAGCTCCACGTTACTGGTGTCTTTCAAATCTTTATCTTTTTATTTATAAAGGTTAACTAATGTTACGGAGCTCTGCCGTCGGCATGTTTACCAAATTCAGTGGTTGGGCATTTGGCTCAACATTATATAATTTGAAGTACTTATTTATGTATAGATTTCCTTATTTTATTCTTGTACATCTTTGTCAGTTCTGTGTAATACATTTTCATAAGTAGGCAGGCTTTGCTTAATTCCCGACAGAAGCATCAAGTCTATTTGTGTTTTATAAAGAAAACAAACAGAACGGTATCGAAGACGCCATAATCTGAGTTAAGAGCGGCTCCCACGGGATACTCACATTTTTGTAATGAATAAATATTCCACCGACACTTACTCGAGTACAGACAGACTGACAGCTTTAGCGACACAATTATACGTAACAAGTACTTTATTGTAAAGTTTCACCCGACGACATTTGTGTAAATATCCATACTAAGTCGAACTACAAAAGAAAATAGCGAAACAAAACAAACCAAAGCAACTTATATAAATATTCCACAAAAAGATGGAACATTTTATTTAAAGGGATTTTAGAGGTAAATCCATTTTCATACTTTTTCAATAAAAATATAACAACGGATTTGGATGATGTTGTTCCAGCGAATGTAACCCCGCGGAGTGAGCTGAGCTTCGAGTTTATTTAGCTTTTATTATTTTCCATCGCTGATACGGGGAACCGCACACAAGCAGCCAATTAATGAACAATACAAGCCGCTTATTACTTACTTACATTCATCCTTTTGTGAAATATAAAAATATAAGAGATTAACAACTCCGCTGCGGCTCACTGCGCTACCTCGCTATTAGCTAAGAGGATGAGCAGTGAGCCCATAAGCAGCCCGCCGGCCCGCCGCCACTGCACACGGTGCGGTGGTACTTTAGTGTACCGGTCTCGTCATACATGATAGGGACGAATCTGTGCTGTCTAGGCAACCTAACAGTACAATGATAAATTTTAACTTTAATAACAATATTAGCTTAACCAATAATAGCAATTTAAACTAGATCATAAGACAACAGAGTGTACCCCCATAAATAATTTTGACAGGAAGGTATGTTCTGGCAGGAAAAAACCCACTCTTAATAAACATACACATAGTCAGGGGCAGCACAATCTAAAATTATTTCATGTTAACATTCAGGGCTGCTACTCTAAATTGTTTGAAATGGAAATGTTTTTAGAAAAAACTAAGTTTGACATAATTTGTTTATCAGAACATTGGATGAAGGAGGATCAATTAATATCCTTAAACTTTGAAAATTACAATGTTATTAGTAATTTTAGTAGGAAGTGTATGTTACACGGTGGGTCTTTAATATTAGTTAGAAACAGTATTAAGTCAAAGGATAGGAAAGACATTGTAGCATTGTCAGTCGAACACACCATTGAGTTGTCCTGTGTTGAGCTGGATAGACATGTTGTAGTTTGTGTATATAGACCACCTAATTACCAGAATCTTGCATTATTCGATTCTGTCATGGAGGATGTTCTGGGGAAGGTCTGTTCTGGTAATAAATCTGTACTTGTATGTGGC